CTTGCCTGAGATTTCTAGGCCTGTGCTGTCCATTAAGGTAGGCTTTAGCCACACACCACTTATACCCATTAAAACTAAGTAGCATGGGGGCTGGTGAGATGGCTCAGTGGTCTAAAGCACCTATTTAGAACAAGCTTAACAAAGCATCAGGGACCGCGGTTCAATCCCCCAGCACCACATGCCAGCCAGCACTGCCCCCTGGTGGGCTGAGCTGGCCACACACACACACACACATAAAATTAAAAAAAAAAACAAAACAAAAACTAAGTAGCATCAACCATTTAGCTTTAAAAAAAAAAAATTAGCTTCTTGGCCACACTAGCTGTGTTTCCTGGGCTCAGGCCACACGTGGCTGCCACACGGGTGCAGCAGCAGGGTGTTTTCATCCTAACAGGTGGGTGTGGACAGGTGGGTGTGGTCACAGCCTCTTGATCTGGGGGACAGATGGGACATTCGGATAGCCCAGGACCCCAGAACACATGGACAGCAAAATGACAATGCCATTCTTTTTTTTTCTTCTTCTTCAGTTTTGTAGTACGGGGGATTGAACCCAGGGCTTTTGCACTAAACTACAACATCCCATTCTTTTTTTTTTTTTTTTTTTTTTCTTTTGAGGCAGGGTCTTTTGCTAACTTGTTAAGTTGCTGGGCTCACACTTCCAATCCTCCTGCCTCAGGCTGCTAGAGGGCTGCAAAAGCAGGTGTGCGCTGCCATACCTGGTGCCAAGTCCCTCTCGTGTGGGTTGTCCGGTATGTGAACAAGTCAGAAAAGCAGGCACTGCTCCTGCTTTGGGCCAGCAGGATGCTAAGTGCTACTTGAGGTGGCCCAAGGTCCCAGGAGAGGGTAGTGGGTACGACACAACCCTCTACGGCCCAGGGTTGTAACTGCCATCTGCTGAGTGCTAGCTCTGTCCCAGGTTGTGGGCTGAGAATCAGGCACAAACCCTGGAGGTCGGTCCAGCCACACAGCCCATCTGGCAGAGGGGTGATGGAAGCTGAGGGAGGAGAAATGAGCGCCCCAGGGTCACAGAGCAGTGGGACCAAAGTGCCAGTTGGGTCTGGTACTGAGACAACACAAGAGCACCTCAGGACGGGGACTGCTGAAAGGATCTGCAGGGACCGTCTGGACAAACTGTCACCTACTGGGGCTCAGCTAGAGGACCTGGTGGGGGAGGGGAGAGCTGCTACTACAGTGCTCCCCCAAGGGATGCACTAAGCGCAGCAGAAGCATGGATGTCCCCAGGCCCTGGCATCCTTGTGCCACGACCTCCTGTTCAGATCCGTGCACAGGTGCGTGAAGCACCACCTCTCCCAGCCTGGGAATGTGCAGCCTGCAGTGGAAAGAACAGCTAACAATAGCTTCTCAACTCCCTTGGGTGAGGGCACAGCCACACTCCAGCAAGGTCAAAGCTGCTGGGACTCGGAGGGATGAGGCTCCAGAAGTACTTAGAGCTGCTGCTGGCTGCCATTTGCTGACTGTGTCTACAGGCTCGGGGTGCAAGGCACTGGTGCACCATCTTTCAGTCTAAGGACGCATATTCGGACAGATTCTACAGAGTTTTGAGTTCAATCCCCGGTACCGCAAAAAAAAAAAAAAAAAAAAAGAAAAAAAGAAAAAGAAAAAGAAAAGCAGACAGAATCTAATTTGGTCATGCTGTCTTCATCTTCCCTGTTTGCATAAAACAGATCCAGAGAGGTTAAATGATTTGCCCAATGTTAAGAAGTGGTGGACATAGGATTCAAACCTATGTCTCCTTGCTTCTTAGTTCAGAGCTGATTTCAAAGTAATAACAGGGCTGGCCAAATAGCTCAGTGGATTAAAGTACCTGCAAGCAGGTGCAGGGGCAGGGGTTCATATCCAGGCCTGCCCTGCCTGCCCTGCTGGTCCTGTCCCCAGGGCATGCTGAGCCAGCAATTGAGACTAGGCGTGGTGTCACATGCCTGTAATCCCAGCACTTGGGAAGCTGTAAACAGGAGCATAACTATGAGTCCCGTCTAGTAGTGAGATCCTGAACACCCTGTAGACCCTTCCCTAAAATACAAAAAGGAAAACAAAAGGAATAATAGCAGTAATAGGCCAAGTCTGGCGGCACATGTTTGTAATCCCAGCACTCAAGAGGCTGAGGCAGAAAGATTTCTAATTTGAGCCCAGCCTGGGTAAATGGTTTTCAAATTTTTTTAAATTTATTTCTTTTGTGTTTTTGAAATAGGGTCTTGCTATGCAGTTCAGGCTGGCCATGAGTTCACTTTGTAACTCACAATGATCTTCCTGCCTCCATCTCTTGAATGCTGGGATTACAGGTGTGCGCCTGGGTAATTTAGTGACTTCATGAGACCCAGTTACAAAAAGGGTGGGAATGTAGCTCAGTGAGGAGCTACTGGGTTTAATCCCTAGTACTGGAATAAAAAATCTATTGGAATGGGTTTCATAGATGTTATTTTTATAGTGCTGTGTATCAACCTTTAGGTATATGCTGGACAGGTGCTTTATCAGCTGAACTCCACCTCATGGTATCACTCTAGCACTTACAGTATTAAGTTGTGAAAACTTGGGGTGAGGGTGTGGGATGTAGCTCTTATGAGGGGCACTTGTGTGAGGTCTTAGGTTCAAGTACCAGCAACATTCACCATATTTTTGATCACACTTCGTAAAGACATTCACAAAAGAAGACTTGCAGAACTGCTTCAGAAAGTGGCAAGAGGGGGCCGGGGAGATGGCTCAGTAGAATAAGCGCTTGCCTGGTAAGCGCAAGGGCCTGAGTTCAATCCCTGGTTCTGTTCCCCCCCCAAAAAAAAAAAAAAGTGGCAAGAAGCCGGGCATGGTCCCAACACTCAGGAGGCTGAGGCAGGAGGACCATTGTGAGTTCTAGAACAGCCTGGGCTACAAAGGGAGCTCCAAGCCAGCCTGAAGTACACAGTATGACCCTGTCACAAAGAAAAAGTGGCAAGAATGATGGGGTTGTTTTTGAAGTGAGGAGAGATATTTTGGGAGGATTAATGACAATGTCTTTTATTGTAATAAATTTTAAAAACTTATGACAGTTAATATTTATTTTATTTT